TAACTTGAACATTTAAGTTTTTACTGTTTTTAGTTCTAAACTGTAGAAAATAAGTTTTTTCATAATTTATTACTAGCTCATTTTTCCTAAACCATTCATTTATCATCTCAAATAATTTATTTATTCTAATTTTAAATGTTGCAGGATTCTTATCAAAGATAAGGATACTTGTATCGTCTGCAAATAATATTGGTTTGGATAGGTCAGATATAATTTTTGGTAAGTCATTTACATATAGTAAAAAGAGCACTGGGCCTAATACAGAGCCCTGAGGCACTCCGCACTGTATTTCTTTCCATTCAGAACAACATTTACTCCCATTTTCATACAAAATTACTCTCTGGTATCTTCCTCTCAAATAGGATCTCATAAGTTTCTGAGCAGCTCCTTCAATTCCATAAAATTCCATTTTTTATAGCAATATATCATGATTTACTCGGTCAAACGCCTTACTCAGATCACAAAAAATTCCACCCACTATATAGTTGTTGTTTAAAGCCCTATAAATATTCTCCATTAGATTATAAGTAGCTAATATAGTTGAAGAGTTTTTTCTAAAGCCGAATTGTTCCTGCGTTAGCAGGTTATATGTATTTAAGTGAGCACTGTATTTGAATTCTGTTAGGAGATTTCAGTGCCAAAGGAGGTAAAGCAGGCATTTCACCAAACCAATTGGGAATGCAAGTTTACATGAAGATAGTAATGATAATGGTGTTAGGTTAGTACTCGTTCTCACAACCAAAAATGTACTGTCAAGACTGCAGTGCTTCCACATGTCAATATTCATAAATACACTTGAACCTCCCCTACCATAATGACACAGATTAATCACATTTTGATAGATAGGACATGGCAATCAAGTTTACTTTATGTTTAAGGTAGTGGACTGGGATGCTGATACTTATCTGGTGGTGGCAGACTGGCAGAAAGTAGAGGGACAGTGCAAATGTTTTATATGACAAGGGTCAGTCTCAAGAAGCTAAATGATGTGGAAGTTTAAGAACAGTATCAGGGTCAAATCTCAAATAGCCTTGCAACTTTAGAATGAAGAGATAATTATGTGGACATCAGTAATGATTTGGAAAATACTAGAGAGAATATAATTTTATCAAAAGGAAGTCTTGATTATTGTGTATTGAAGCAGCATAAACCATCATTTGACAGAAAAATTTCCAAAACTATTATATCAAAGGAAATGAGCAAAATTGACAGTAATGTTGACATTCTGTGGGAGCATCTCAGAAACACACCGATAACAAGTATACATTGAAAAAACAAAACCCAGGTTGAATACCTAGTTGAGGTCAGAAAGTGAGAGAATTAAGTTTAGTCACCAGCCAGGATAGAAAAGTTTTTCCTTCAAATCGAAGTAAAGTAATTCAATAGAAGAATATCTTAATGAAGAATTCTGTAATATTGGTTACTGATAAACAGAAGTGTAGAATAAGGTATATTCCTAATAATTTTATATCTTCCTTACTTACTTACTCATGGAGCTGAGCCCCTATGGAGGAGCCACCAATTCTGCAGCTCCTCAAGAATTTCCCAGCATTTTATGGAACCCAAAGGTTCATTACCGTGTTCACAAGAGCCCTCCACTGGTCCCTATCCTGAGCCAAATCTATCCAATCCATACCATCCCCTCCTATCTCTCTAAGATCCATTCTAATATTGTCCACCCACCTATGCCTTGGTCTTCCCTGTGGTCTCTTTCCTTCTGGCTTTCCTACCAATATCCTATATGCGTTCCTCGTCATAATAATTTTATACCATAATCATTAATGTATTTCAATAATAATATGGATGGACATGTCCTATATCAGTGTATTTTGATGTACAGGATAAAATAAAAAATTAGTAAATGAACGTGTTATATTTTAGCCAAATAAATCAATGTATAAAGATTAAAGTTTTCTGAGATGTGGTCCTGCCATAGTCAGGTAGATCTTTACCACCCTTTTGGAGGAAAGTGCTACCTCCACCTTTAGTTTATAAGAGGTAAACATATACCAGACTACATGACATATCTCAGAAGACAATACTCTTCATAGTCACTGCTGTGAGAACCACGGCTCTCAAATTAATGTATATATCAGCAGTGTTCTGCTCTTTGTTGTATACTCCTACAGGCCCATTACTCCAAATGGAACTGCGAGAGCCCAAACGAAAGTGTCGAGTACGTATTTCTTTGCAGCAGCCTTTCCCAGTTCTTAACAGGGATGTAACATCAATACCAACAAGTAAAGCTCTTTGGCAAGTGTATACTGGAAAGTACAGTGGAGACTCTGTTGTAGTGGATGCCCCAGATGAAATGATGGCACTTTATAATATGGTAATACATGTCGTGTGTGATTAAACTACTTATTCATCTTATTATACTGCATCATCCTGTTGCACCGTGTATTCTAAATTAACACTTATACGTAAGAAGTATGGAATCTGAGATAGCGCAGTCGGTATTACAACTGGCTATGGGCTGGACAGATGAGGGGTTAGAGTTCGAGTCCCAGTAGGGTCAGTTATTTTCTCTTCTCCATGTCTTGTGTGCTGGCTATAGGGCCTACCCAGCCTCCTATCTAATAGGTACTGGGTAGCTAGGGGTAAAGTGGCCAGGGCGTGAAGCTGACCACTCACCTCCAGCTAATGCTGAGGTCAAGAAAATGTTGATCTATACATCCACTCCCCCATATGCCTCCATAGCATAGTGCTTACTTAGTTAAGCACAGGGACAACTTTACCTTACTTCTTTCTAAAGTATTAATCTCTTCCTGTTATTCAAACACTACAAGTTCCAGCCCAACTTGCCATCATCAGGTGTACGAGTTGTAGAGGAAACTGAAGCCATGTTGTCATGCTGCTCTATATAGGCAAAAACATGTTGGTATTTGAATAACAGAAAGAAGAATGGTTTGAATTTTAATACATCAACAGAGTTGCAAGTTATCGAAAGTAATGGTCAAAAGCTTAGCATTTTTGCTTCATGTATGTAAGGTTCCAGGTCCACTTCTAAGAACAGAGACTGTCTCAGTTGTACTGTATTTATGGCTTTTGTATTTGTATGACTTGTTCCACATCCTACAGTCATTCTGACTTACTTTGGATCTACAGAATGAATATGTAATGTACGTATGTATGTATGTACAATGTTTTTATCTTTAGCCCCTCAAGGCAAGTATTTTGATAATTTTAAATTAGGTCTTTTCCTCCCATGAACGAACTCCGTGGTTTTAGTCCACAAGCAGATTATACCATCTGAGCGACCGCCGCTTGTAGAAGTTAATGCCAACTTTAGCAGATATAGGGTGTTGTGTGGTCAGTGCAACAAATCCCCATAGCCTAATTTCGGTTTTCTAGACTGGAGCTGCCATTTCATTGAAATAGCTCCTCAATTATCATCATATGGCTGAGTGGACCACGTTCCAGACTCACTATTTCTCAGAAAAAATCTGGTAGCGTAAGGAATCGAACCCGGACTTCTGGATCTGTAGCCAGGAACTCTGACCACTAGACCACAGAGTTTAATTCGTTATCCAGCATCTTATAATTCAACACATTATAAAGTGTGTACTTGAAAGGTTTCTTATAATAATAACAATAATAATTATAAAACTTAGATTCTGTAAGTTCTTTGGGCTGAATTACTTTGAAGTGTAGTTGAGTTTTATTGCTGTCATACATTGCAGCTGCTTTCAATTCTCTATTGCCCTGACAAGATTTTTGGTAAACAGAAGAATACTGACTAATTAGTACCTGTAATCTCTTCATTTATAGGGCTGTTTTGGAAAAGGGTCATTATCCCGTGGAAGTCCAGAATTTGGTAAAGAAAGACAAGGAACCCCACCTTTCATTCGTCATCGGCAGTGGAAACGTAGATGCAGATGGGCAAACCAACTTAAAGCTATGAAGACTGATAATGAAACAAAACAACAGGAAACTGTTGTGAAGGTTAGTCAGCGGGACTGTGTTGGGGAGGATCACATTGCAGGTGAAATCACACTGACTGCAGGAAAACAAGCATCGCCTGAGGGAAGTGCAAATATAATTCCTGAGGATGAAGCTCAAGAGAAGAATTCAAGAAAGTTCTGTGATACAAAGAGTACAGTTGAAAGAGATGATGAAATTAAAACAGACAGGACATTTGAGGAAACTAAAAATTGTGATGATAGCAATGGTAAAAAGACATGTGATGTGAATACAGATAAAAAGCTCATAATACTTGATTCTGCAGAAGAAAACAATAAAAATAAAGCAGTAAAAAATCTAGGACATGTGGACAGGACTAAGAACAATAAAGAAGGTGAACATGAACAAAAAGGCACAACACAACTTAATAATTTTACTAGTACTAATGAACAGAACAGAAATACAGTGGTAGAATGTCATAGCTCCAAGACTAATGGTACCATAGTTACATCTGAGAATAATGGTACTAAAGAAGGTAACACAGAAGATTGTAGTCAATCTGCAGATGACAAGAGTGAGGAAAGGATGTTACTGGTTCTTCCTGATAGTGACAGTGATTGTGAAGGATATTTGGATAATGTCTGCCCTAGATTAGAGAAGGAACCATTCCCAGTTCACGAAACTTTACATCTAACACTTGAAGAAGCCTTCTTCTTGAGTTTTGGTCTCGGTTGTCTTCAAGTTATTGATTTATTTGGAAATTGCCTATCACTGGATGGTATGTGGCAGTTATTTTGTAAATCTCAGAAAGACTTCATCCAGAAGTATGTTGCATACCATTATTTTCGCTCTAAAGGCTGGGTGGTGAAACCAGGAATCAAATTTGGTGGTGATTTCTGTAAGTTTAATTTTTATATGAAGTTCATCTTTCCACCAGGTGGTAAATGTTCTTAAATATTTGTGCATATGCACACAGACATGTCCATTCCTAATCTTCTCATTCCTGTCATGTGATGCCATCTATATTAGGCAAGATATGAATGATACCAGTTATTGGATTAGTTTTTGGTTAGTATGTCACATTATATTCAGAGTACAGTTTTCTCGAATGTGATGCCCAGCTTGATACTGATATTTTTTAGGCACGTGCTGCTTTTGTTTTCTGCATTGAAGAAGGAGCCAGCAGATTTCCCCCAAATATTGGCACAACCCTACCAGATTACACAGTTTCACATCCCAGGTGATAGTAATCTTAACCCTTTAAAACCCAATGGTTGCTATATATACTGTCTACTTTACAATACTAAAACTCTGTAGTCTGCCCATGCAGATTTGTGTTCTCACAGTAAACAGTGACTTTATTGCCTAAACAGCATTAACTGACTAGTGTTTTTAACAGAGATGTAATGTGTTTCCTGTGAGGCAGGAACTGAATTTGCATATGTAATAATTAGAGAAAATTCAGTCCATAGTGTGTTAATATTCATTGTTGAGAGAACCTGAATTTACCTATGTAATAATTAGAGACAAGTCAGACCATAAAGTGTTAATATTCATTGCTGAGAGAACCTGAGATCTGTTATGTTATGTTTTGGGGCATGAAGCTGACCACATACCTCCATCTAGTTGTGAGATCAAGAATGGTACAGTATATCACCACTTTCCCATACATCTTCATTGTGTGATGCTTAATTAACTAAACATAGGGACAACTTTAGCCTTTTTTTAATACATTCAATTTAATTTATTTGCCCACTCTTCATAACGTGGTATCTCACCTAGATCTTGTATTCTGCAGCTGTCATTTTAATTGTTGACATTCTCACAAAATAAAACATTTGTCATCCTTGCATGAAATATGACCATCCCTTGCCCATAAGTTCACCATGTTTTCCTGTAGTGTTTCTACTTGCACATCTTGCCTTATGTCATGATTTTAGATTTTATCCTTTTATATTTCTCCTTTTGTGCTATGTGCAAACTTCGTTTTTGCTGCTTGTATTCTGCTTGCATTTATTCATGTCTATGTCTACAGTCATGTTCTGTACATGAAAGTTTGCAAGTGACATGTTTTATTATACCATAACTTTAAATTTATCTGAAGTAAGAGACTGCCTGATAGGATGAAAAAAAATCAGAACCTGGTTCCTGGCACCAGGGCAGTGGTTTGGAGGTCCTGTCAGGAACTCTGAAAAAAGATAACTAAAAAGGGCTCTGATGTAACTGTCAAAGTCAGCACTGATATATTTTCAAGCATAATAGAATATCATACTGAATTCTGAGAATAAATGTTCCTGTGCTTACAGTGTTATATAAGCAAGGTCCTCCATTTTACCATGCTTCATACATTGTGCTGGTGGAGGTGATAGATAAATCTACAATGATGAGGGTTCCTGGGCTTCAAAGAAATCTGTCTTGGACAAGGCTGATGGGACTCAATAGGGTTGGAGAGACTGCAGGAAAGGTGAACAGAGTTACCTATATTTATGTTTGTAGCTGCATCCTCCCATTTTGACCTGATCTCTGTAAATCCATAATGTTACATAACTGCTTATTCAGTACGGGAGGAAACCTTGTCAGACATGCATCCTTCTATAGCAAAATATCCTTATCTTAGGAATTCGTATGTTTGATTTTGCAGGAAAGTGATAACATAAGCAGGAAGTCACCAGAAACTTTACAAAATATCTCTTGTCTTTTGGATAACGTTACTTTGCTGCCATAGTTCGCTTAGGATGCAGTACCAAATAGGGAGGCTGTCATATTTGCAGTGTTGTACCTTGTTCTGACATTGTAACTCAGAGAACGTTACTATCCAAGGTGTACAGTTCTAAAAATTGACCATTGGCCAGCACAGCCAGTTTTTAACAAAACTGAAAGCCATGACAGTATATCATGCTTCTCAGGAGGATATACTGTACATGTGTATGTAATGTAAAGTAAAGGTATCCCTGTAACAGGCCGTGGAAGCCCATTGGGTTGTGAGAAGTTGAGGCTCTCGCATTTTTAGACGCTCGGCTCACAGATGGTGATGAGGTTGTCAGCCTTACATGCCAGCCGCCCTTTACACCCAGGAATATTCCTGGTACTCATTTCTGTTAGAGGCTGAGTCGACCCCAGGGCCATAGTGCAGCTGGAAGGATTAGGTCAATTGAAAAAATCCAATGACCTCATCGGGGTTCGATCCCGCGACCTTCCAGTTTGTAGCATAGTGCCTCAACCAACTACGCTACCGTGTACCCCACATGTGTATGTATATATATGTTTTTATAGCCTACTTTAAAAATGTGATTGACTTAGGTTGCCCACTTATATTTATTTGCATTCAAGAAAAGTGTTTTTTCCAGTTAGAAACCCAATGTTATATTAAATTCATGTGCTAAGTAAAACCTCCACCAGAGTCAGTAATTTTATGTTATTAATAGTTGTTCTAGGCTAATATTTTTTTTCTGCTTCAGAGTCAAAAGGCTAAAGAGTAATCAGGCAGATAATATGAACTAGATGTGCACAGTAAACCATTGTTATAACAGACAAAATCTGGAAATATACAATTGTGAATTTTTAGAGATGTTGAGGCACTAAGGTTTTGTGGTTAGAGAACTGTTTAAAATAAAAAAATACAAAAGCCCTAATGCTACATTGTGTGCGTTTGTTTATTACGGGTATGGGCTATGTATCCTATGGTGTATATCTATGAATATCTCTTCACTTGGTTCTAGCACACATCAGTGATAACTGACACCTTGCCCCCTATTTTTAATTCACTTAGTGGGGGGTGGAGTCCAACTGGGTCCACTTGGCATAGTGGCCACTCATTGGCCTATTGTAGCCTGCCCAGGGTGATTATGATGATAGAGAATTTGGTGGAATGGAGATTGGCAGGGGAAACCAAAGTACTCAAAGAAAACGTGCCCCAGCACCACTTTGTCCACCACAAATCCCACTTGACCGAACCCGGGCCGCCGCCTATTAGTCAATTATAACAAAGTTTTACTATGCATCTTTCTTTAGTTAACTTCTTTTTGCATAAGTTTAAGTGGAAAGGCAAGCAGAAAATGTTCAGAATCCGTTAAACTGTAGTCACAAAGCAGTGTGGTATATGGGAACTTTCTGCAGCAGTTAAAACGATACAAATTTGTCATTTGTACATAAAATGGTTTTCCATAGATTTCTGCACTTAAAAACTATGATTATAGGTAGCTGTCACAGAGTTGAGATGATCTTATATTTAGGTAAATATAATAATACAGATAAGATCTAAAAGTTTGTGACAATGGTATATTACTACAAGTATTATGTTTTTGGACATCATCCATCGTCTTATCTATTTTCTAAAAAAAAAAAAACGCCCTGTTTCTTTTTGAAAACAGAATGTTTTGGAGACTGGATTCTGTCCCTGTCCTCAGGTAAAACGTACCCAGTTGGGTCCAATATATACCACAAGGAGTATTGCTTCTCTCCAGGTATGATTTCATTTGAGATATTTCTCTGGTGCAAGGCTTCATACATGTGGAGTTTCAATAATTGAATATTTTCTTAGCTCTCGCAGATGGCTTGTGTTGTGTTTGGTTTATGAACCCCTTCTTGAAACTGACAGGTGTCCAAAGAAAGGGGCTAGCTCTACCTATTGGACCCAACTGAGTAGGTTTTACCTGAGCACGGGCACAGAATCCAGTCTCCAAAACATGTTTTCAAAAAGGCACAGGCAATTTTTTTTAAGAAAATAGACAAGACGATGGATAATGTCCAAAAACATAATACTTGTAATAATAATAATTCAGTATCTCGTTTGTATTTTGGTATTATATAACTTAATTTTTGAGTAGACATCTTGCAGGATTTCAACCTGTTTGCAATTTCTTGTGAAAAGTAATTTAAAGCACTGCATACCTTTTCAGGAGATATTATTCTGTCAAGTAATTTGGCCATCAGAAGTAAGTCCTGAAAGCATGGAATTTCCATCTATCCTGTCCAAGTTCCAAGTACATGAAATGCTAATCAGAAGATGGGTATCTTCACAAGAAAGAGAAGAAAGTGATGCAGCATGAAGACTCATGGACGGTTCAATTACATGCTTATGTTAGGACTAAGATATGAGTTCACTTTCTCAGATATCATATATATGAAAATGTCAATACTATGAATAAAATTATCAGTCTAACAAGTGTTGACTGTACAAATTATTTTCATTGATCCTAACGTTAATGAAAAACCAGCAATGCTCAGTTAGTTGAACAAGAAAATAATGCAAAAGCGATGAGAGATTTTGCACTCTATCCAAATGCCTATGGAAGTGAGATTTGATGTTATCATAGCAGTAAATGTGAAGCTTGCATATTGTGCAGTGTGACGCTATGTAATTTGATAAATAGGTTACTCCAAAATGTTGGAACCTATCTACTAAACTACAGTGTCACATTTCAGAAGACCTATCTTCACCTTTGTTGATGTCTGTATTTTTTTTTTAAATGCTAGTGGGGTGGGACCAAGTCCCTTGTACTGTGGCCACTTCTGGCCTATTGTACCAGCCCCAGATGATAGGCGAGGGTGATTGTGGAGCAATTGGTGGAATGAAGATTGGCAGGGGAAACTGAAGTACTCGGAAAAAACCTGCCCCAGCGCCACTTTGTCCTCCACAAATCCCACTTGACCAGACCCAGGATCGAACGCGGGAAGCCAGTGACTAAGCGCTTGAGCTATGGTGTGGCCCAATGTCTGTATTTACTAGTAACAGTACATCATAGCAGAATTTCATAAAAAGGAATATCCAAATGTGTGTTAATTTGTTACAGTACTGGATAGGTCTGACTTCTTGGGTATAGCACCATGTAATCCATTGAAAGTTCTCTCACCTCCATCTTCAGCGATGAAGACTAAGCCAAACAAGAAACCAGCCTGAAGCACACATTTTATATTGTTTTTGCTGTACATTCTAGAATAAATGTTTTTTTTATCATGAACGTTAATTTATTATTATTAAAAACTTAAAAAGTGCCCCCTCTTCACATTTGATATTGGGCATCATGTAGAATAAGGTACTGCACATAAGCAGTATTGAACAAGTAGGTTCACACACTAACAGCATTCATTTTGGCAAGGGCTAAGGCCATAAAAAAACAGAAGGTAAAATTTTGTTAAATGACAGTTTTTACAAGTTTTGTTACAAGAGGATTGTATTGTGAATACATACATTTTTCTAACTTATAAATACGTTTATTTGTTGTGTTTCCTAGGGATACCAGTTCTTCTGAATTCACTACGTTCGTCCAAATATTCTTCTTTACATTTATTCTTGAATTCTTCATTTTGGTACCATTTATCCAAGCAGTTCTTAAGAGCAGTGTTTTCCTTTCGACATGTAATAACCATGAAAATACTGGAATTCTTGCAGCATTCAGTAAAAGCTGAGAAGAAAAAACCATTATGACTGCAGTCACCACATATCTAACCAAGCCTCCTTGTGCACAGATAGATACCTGACAAATATATGTTATGATAAAATATCATATGCTGCTATTCATTTTCTGGAGCTGGTATAGATTAGTTGGCACAATGTCAGCATGGCCAAGGAATTCGGGTTAGATATACATACATAGAATATTAATTTTTACAATGCATGAAAATAATTCATACCCTCTTTATTGTCATAAACTGCACATCAAAGTAACATAGTGATACCAATTTATGATTCAAGTGGTACATCAGTAAATCTTACCTTTTACTTCCTCAGTACATATTTCATCTCTAGCTTTGTCTCTCATCTTTTTTGGAATCAGAACATCAATCTCTATATTTCGTAATGACCTGTCCTCTGGATCGCCTGTGAGCATATATAATATTGTCTTCAGAAATCTAATGCTGTGGTTTAAGACTGGAGAGCTATAACACCAATTTCTGTTTAGGGCAGGCACATTGAACTTCACCTTTAAAAATACATTGGATCTGTCCTGAATTTGAGGTTCTCACAACCAACTATATTCTGGGTTTCGTGCCATGTGGTTCATTAAAATTCCACCAGTAAAAGATAAAAACGGTAAAGCTATTCCTCTAACAAGCTGTGAAGGCTTCCACATTTTCTAGACGTGTCAGTGTACTACCGAAATACAAAGCACTAAACCCAGTATACCACTCTCTTCCCATTCACTATGACACAACCTATCGTGGCCAAAGGAGAAATATAACGAATCTGAAACTTGTACCAAGCTATTGATCAAACGTAGAACTGCGGCATTCATCTCTGAAAGTGCATTGCAGTTAAGAACGAGGCTTGCACAATAATCCGATGTATTTTCAACCATAATGTCCTCACAGCTGTTATGAAACTGCACTAATAAATCATGCATCACTATCCGTTCGAATGGATTATGTGCGATGTAACACGTTAATGTTGCACTTTTAAATTTGTTGGCAATGTTATATACAATTTCAAGCTGATCACCCACCCAAGGAGTCCTACCGAATGTGTAAGATCTAGAAAAAACCGAAGTGAACGGAAAAGTTCATGAAGGGCCCACTGGGGCTGTAGTGCCAACGAAAAAAAAAATACACATACAATTTCAAGCATTTAATAAATTAACTATAGCTGAACACTGCGCCTACTTATTGTACGGAGATGACAAATTTCGACAGATATATCGTGTAAATAATAACTACCTAATCCTTGCGGTCCTCCTCCAAATTTCTTCGGCAAAACGGCAACATTTTCTTTAGCAGACGCCATAATGCGCCATAAGTTGTTACGTGCACAGATACCGAGCATCTACACATGAGCACATGGGACATATTGTCATATTTTCCCCTCGACAGTCAGCCGACGTTTCAAAAGAACGTGTTGTCTCCATCATCAGGGTTGAAGAATATGTCAAGCATGGACCCAGCAAAAAAAGGGGTGGCAAGTAGAGCTGAGTGACATGCTACGCCAAAATATTTGACTTTCAACGGACCGCACTGCGTTATATCCCAGGAGATAGAACTTTTCATAATAACCACTATGAGAACCTCAAACCCTTCATTTAGTAAGGATTTTGGTTAATTCTCGCTGTAGGCTCTGAAATTTAGAAGGCAGAGGTATTCCTTACAGGTTCAATAGTGTACCAGAGAAAACATAGGATTAACTCATTGACAATATACGCGGAAGAAAAGCACACTGTGCGAAATTCGACACATAAAATAAGTCGTGTATAATCCGTGGTCTTAGCTGTCCTAGCCGTCCTAGCGGTCCTAGCGTTGTGAGCGTATTTATAGCGTATTGAGGTTTCGTTTCGTGAGCTTGCACTTTTGATGGATGGAGTGTGGTTTTGTTATTGTGTTTGCTAGTGTCAGACCAGCATAATAATTTAATGTTGTAATCGCCTAGTTGCATATAAGTTAATTTGTATATTTTCGAGCAAGAGAAGGTAAGTAGTTATTAATTGTAAGTACTAGCCTTGAAGTTCTTTCAAGCAGAAATATTCTTAAGCTTGTGTATATTTAGGTGACATAATTTGAACTTCTGTTTTTACAGACTCTAAGTGTAAATTACACTGTGTAGAATATTTTTAATGTAGATGTGGTTTTTTAAGGCCAGTCTTTTTGCAGCATTATTTGGTTCTGTGGGCACAAGCAATGGACCGCTTGTTGAGGTTAGGAGGAGGCATGCCAGGTTTGAGCCAGGCACCACCACCATCAGATGCACCAGTTGTAGACACTGCTGAACAGGTTTACATTTCCTCACTTGCCCTTCTGAAAATGTTAAAACATGGTCGTGCTGGGGTACCAATGGAAGTTATGGGCCTTATGCTGGGAGAATTTGTTGATGATTATACAGTCAGAGTGATTGATGTTTTTGCTATGCCACAGACTGGAACCGTGAGTAATTTTTTAAATTCTAAAATGTATTATATGAGTAAATTTCCCAATTTTGTTAACAGTTATGAGTGTTACTGTCTAACAGAGTTGTTTAAGTGATAATTTGATCTTGTATAATTCTCTCAGCAGGTCAGTAGTGCCTTTACATTGCTCATGTTCATTCCATCAAATTCTCCACAAATAAGAATATCTAATTAATTCTAAATTGTAATCAGCAGTAAAAAAATTGTAACTATTGTAATTTTAATCTACTTATATATCAAATTGTTAATATTCAGAATTGACTTGTCATATATCATGTACAATGATCTACAGTGACGAAATCAATCAATCAATCAATCAATCATTTATATGCCACCCTTACTTAATATGCCTTTCAGTTTTTCGCCCCTTCATACACTGTTTGTGTATAGTGATTCATTTATATAGTCATGCTGCATGAAGTTCTATAATTAAAATTATCATGAGTTTTATGTGTACTGAAATGTGTGTATGTGTCTTCAGGACTCCAGAATTGTTAAGAGTTACTGTACACCATGAGTAACTTTATTTCTAGGGTGTCAGTGTAGAGGCAGTGGATCCAGTATTTCAAGCAAAAATGTTGGACATGTTGAAGCAAACAGGACGCCCAGAAATGGTTGTTGGATGGTACCATTCACATCCAGGATTTGGATGTTGGTTGTCTGGAGTAGATATTAACACACAACAGAGTTTTGAAGCTCTGTCAGAGCGGGCTGTTGCTGTAGTAGTTGATCCAATTCAGAGTGTTAAAGGTTTGTGTGAGATGTTCCATTAAAAATTCAGAACAGGCAGCTAGAACCTTGCTCTTCTTGCACCCACAATGTATGTTAAACACTACTTTTGTTTCTGACTTGATGATTGTAGAACTTACATCACTACCGATGTTACAGAGCCAGTAGTTTCATATGTACTAGGGGAGCTCACAGGGGTCTGTCATAGCAAGTCAGAAATGAATAACAGTAACAAAAATGCTGAAGGGTGCATATAGAAAGACATGGTGGAGGGCTTATTATTTTGAATATAAATAAATAAATTGTTCACTCTCCTGCCTATATCTTTCAGTCTTGTTCAGACATTGCACAACTTTCATGTCTGTTATGTAGGATATTTGTATTTCTTATCATTCATGCTTAATTCTTGTAAATGATTAAGCACTTTTAATTAATTTGCTAGAATTCATGAGACTGAAATGTACTATTCATCTGTAGACCTCATTCTAGATGTGGGCGCAGTAAAATATATTAAAGTGGGTCTTATAGTCTGAGGTTGTGGACTGAATTCATGTCACTTTGACAGATTCAAGTGTCAGGCTGTTCTGAACGTAGTTATGACTGTGGTTCCCATAAGTCAAGAAATTTTCTTGATAGATGAGCAGCTGTCATCTTCTCAGTATTCTGTTTGATGTAATTAAGCACATCTTCCAGTAGATCTGTCAGAACAAGGTATTATTACACATATATAGTTTTATTATAACATCTTAGAATAGGCTAAAGGGTAACAGGATAATAAAAAAATGTATGTATTGTGAGTAAAGATCCCTTGTTACATCACTGCAGCAATGGTTGCTTGACACAGTTGCTCTTCTGTTATGTCACCGCGGGAGGCGACAGGGTGTTTACTGAGCGTTGTGTGATAATGGAAGGGGTCGGGGTATGTGACGACACTCACAAGACCGCAGAGTTCACGTGACCCCTACTTCCCGTTGTGCCATCCACGTCACAGTACATAATGTTCTCTTCTTTTAATGTAGGAAAAGTTGTAATTGACGCGTTCCGACTTATCAACCCCAACATGATGGTGCTAGGCCAGGAACCACGACAGACAACCTCAAATCTTGGTCATCTGCAGAAGCCCTCAGTTCAGGTAAATAACTGAGCTGGAAGTTTTTTCCTGTATATATGTACAAAAATCTTAAAACTGGAATAATTGTTTTTGTACAATAAAGTCATGTTAATTGAATGTGTGTTTTAGCAGAGTTTCATTGTATTTGTAATTGATGTTTATATTACGAGTATTAACAGTATCCATATAATTGACACTTCTGGCACAGTAATAAGTGTGTTAAAATTCAGTGAGACCAGGATAGCTGTCATTACTGTTATTTATAGAACTGTGGACATGAAACCAAACATTATGATCACATGATAAGAAAATAAGGGTAGTATTTAATTTAAAGCAGCAGTGTGTGGTGCCATCTGCTAGTTTTTTCCAAGCATTTATATAGTATAAAAAATGTGCTTCTATCATGGGTAAGATTTCAGTGGTACTCCTGGCGGAGAGCATGTAGTAGTGAATAGAGGAACTTGCATACACATGTATGTGGTTAAAGAAGTATGCCTAAACAAAAGTAAGGGACACCCACTCAGTCATGGAGCTGAGCCCTTCTTGACAAGCCACCATTTGTGCAGCTACTCAAGAACTTCCCAGCACTTTATTGAACCTGAAGGTTCATTACCTCATTCACAAGAATCCTCCACTGGTCCCTATCCTGAGCCAGATCAGTCCAATCCATACCATCATATCTAAGATCCCTTTAATATGGTCCACCCTCTTACATCTTGGTCTTCCTAATGGTATTTTTCATTCTGGCTTTCCCACCAATATCCTATATGCATTCCTCTTTTTCCCCACTCATGCTCCATGCCTTGCCCATCTCATCCTCCTTGACTTGATCATTCTAATTATACTTGCAGAAGAGTACAAGTTATGAAGCTCCTCATTATGCAGTTTTCTTCAACCTCCTGTCACTTCATCTGTATTTGGTCCAGATATTTTCCTCAACACCCTCAGTCTATGTTCCTCCCTTAGTGTCAGAGGCCAAGTTTCACACCCATACAGAACCACAGGCAAAATTAAAACAGGGACATGACATGTAAAATTTGATTTATTACATAATACTATATACAACAGTTCTCACATCAAATATATCTCTTATTCAGTGATCTCCTAATTGAGAAATCTTGTGGGGGTTGGTAATTGGTAGTGAATAGGGGACGGGTACCCAAGTAAATTTTAAATGATATGTACTATATCTTACTGTATTAAAAGTGTGCAGGGCTATTTGAATTTTAATGCATTATCATCATTATCATTTCTGAAAGTATAAACCATGCATTATTTTCAGGCCCTGATACACGGTCTGAACAGACATTATTACTCTATTAGTATCAACTATCGTAAGAATGAATTGGAGCAGAAGATGCTGTTGAATCTTCATAAGAAATCATGGATGGATGGACTGATGCTGGCAGATTATTCAGAGCACTGCAAACTTAATGAGACAACAGTCAGTGATATGCTGGATTTAGCACGAAACTACAACAAGGTAACGTCATGTTTTCAGCTCGCAGATGATCAGACTGTGGCCATGGACTGGCAGCATTGATCACCTTACAAAGAAAAATGTTACTTCTGCAGATGTGTGTGCTTATCCACAAATATTGGTGCTCCTCAAGTGTACTTTTTCTGGTTGGCACCAGATGTTAGCCACGTAGTTAGTAACTCTGGCTCGTACATTTGGGAGGCTCTGGTTTTGGTTCTGAGTCTGAAGACTGGCTATTCTGACTTTGATTCATTGTGGCTTTCAGCAGTAGATCCAGGCAGGTGTTGGTGTACTGCCGTAAAATAAGCCAGGGCCGCTTTTTCTGACATTCTTTCCAATTCACGAAACATTCTACTTGGGATGTTACTTAACCTATGAAGTTTAATTAAATAGAAGGAAAAATGTCTTCTAGCACTGTGTGGTATAATATCTGCAGTGCAGTTTTACAACAGTATATTTGTATTTGCAGTAAGTGATCATTAAGGGCAATGAGACATGCAGAGTAGCAAAGAACTGTTTTAAAAATATACATATTCTCCGCCCTTGCCATGTCTTGTAAATGTGTTATTTTACAGCCTCACCATAGCTCAAGCAGTTAGTCGCTGGCTTCCAACCGTGGTGGCCCGGGTTCGATCCCGGGTCTGGTCAAGTGGGATTTGTGGCGGACAAAGTGGTGCTGGGGCAGATTTTTCTCCGAGTACTTCGGTTTCCCCACCAATCTTCATTCCACCAAATTCTCCATCATAATCACTCAGGGCGGGCTACAGTAGGCCAATCAGTGGCCACCGCGCTGAATGGACCCAGTTGGACTCCACCCCCCACTAAGCGAATTTTAAATGTGTTTTTTTTTGTTTGTTGTTCTTTACCTGACAGGCTCTTGAAGACGAGGAAAAGATGACACCTGAACAGCTGGCAATAAAGAATGTTGGTAAGCAAGATCCAAAGAGGCATCTGGAAGAGAAGGTTGATATTTTGATGACAACCAATATCGTGCAGTGCTTGGGAGCTATGCTGGACACTGTCGTCTTCAAGTGATGTAGAAGAACTGATTTTCATATTCACCTGCCACATCTGAAATTACAAAAAAAATAAAAAATAAATAAAAACTTTAGTCCCTATTGACAAGTTAGAGGAAATAAGTTCTATCAAAATTATTTATTAAGAACTTGCAGTTTAGGAAATTAATTCTGTTTTAACAGTCAAAGGGATACAATGCTTCAGTGTGCATACAGTGTTTTGCTGTGAATAAAACCCACATTATAAAATGAGGCATGCAAATGTTCTAGTTTGCAATTGAGAAGTTCTTGTACTGCTATTATTCAATAATAAGATATTGAAAAAATACTGATATTCTGTTCTTTTAACAGGAAATTTATATATATATAGTGTGACATGTCTAACTGTTGCTGGGCAACAGGAGGTGGGATGAGTTACCACGAAGACAGACCCTTGATAAAAGGTCGGTTGCCAAGTTACGCAACAGTAAGGAAAGTGGTGTTTCTCCATGCCGTGCAGAGTAGAGCCAAAGTGAGCCGAGCCGAGTCGAAGCGCACTGGTTGCTACGCAGCAATAAACAACTCGGCAGCGTTGGCCACCAACGCCTGTAAACACGACGTTTACGCTGTTTACCGAGCATTGCATACTAATGGAAGGAGTGGGGGTATGTGACATCACTGGCGAGACTGCAGAGTTCACATGACCCCTACTTCCTGTTGTGCCATCCATGTCACAATATATTGAGCATGTCCTTACAGGCTTGTTGTAATTAAGTATACAGAGTCCAGTATATATAATTTGTATTTTTACAACTGTAGAGACATGGTAGAATTGAAGGAATCCACAATGTTGATACCGTATTTGTTCAGAAGACAAGGTATATGTAGATTTGATTTGGTGTCTGAAACTTAGAACTAACTGTATTTGATGTGGAAGAGATAACCTATATAACCACAGCCACCCTGACCACTACTTTGCCCACTGTACACCATGAGCTCGTTTGAGCCTTGCAAAAAAGTCCTGACCCTAGTGTTAGACCAGGAAGCATCTTGACGATGATCTGATATTCATTTGATATAAGCATGCGGATCTAACAATTTTTATTCTATGCCTAGCCAGAAATGAGCATTGACAAAGTATATGGTGGGAGGATTCCCCCTCTTGCATACATTTCCTGGACATGACACTTTTCCAGAGGCCCATAATTAGGTGATTCCTCAGTGTACAGTGGAAGTCGGTTTCACCACTAACCTACATTGTTTTCTGTCCAAAGACAATTGGTCACTGAGGTTTTCATCCAAAGACCTTTTTAGTGAACAGCTGTCTGCTTTCCAAAACTGTAGAGGGTGAGGTACCAAATGAGAAGATAGAGAATGATAGTTTCAGTAGAACTAAGTACAGCAGTCATCCAACTGACAGGTATCCATCAGCACCCACACGGTCTTTATGCATTCCTTCTGGGATTTCAGAGTTGGTACCTGTTTTATTTTTATTTTGAAGCCAAGTGACACACTATCAAAGTAAATGTTGACTGGGGAAATTTTATTTACTACACAATTCGTCAACAACGCAACATATTCTTCCTTCTTTCTTTCACTTTCAGCCCCAAATGGCCATCTTCAGGTGTCTTACTCTGCTAAAACTGCTACACTGCACTAATATTATCCATTCATCACATATGCAATTGCACACTCATGATTCAGAACATCATAGTAGTCTAACTAATTATCGCTAAAAAAGCACACGCTGTAGTTCACTTAATATAAATCAAATAAAATCTTACACCTCACAAGGGGACCTGTCCACTTGTTTAGATTTGTATCCTTGCAGATTACAGATTGCAGACGTAACACAACAATGGGCTTATGAATAGAAAAACAGGCTGCTGCAATAAAACATCTGAAGAAAAGGATACAGATCTGAACAAGTGATGATGCCCCTTGTGAAGAGTAATAAGAATTTTACAAAATTTAAATAAATTTTAATAGATTTTGATTTAAATTAAGTGAACTACAGTGTGTTATTTTAGCACATATCAGACTACAATTATGACATGTAAGATTTGAGGTATCTTCCGGGATACATTCCTCCAAAATGTCAGTTAACACAATATCTACATGGCGGCACACCCCAGATGCTGGTTTTCTTCATTTTACAGTTATGACATTTTGAATCATGAAACATGCAATTGCATATGTGATGAATGGATAATATTAGTGCAGTGTAGCAGTTTTAGCATAGTAAGACACCTGAAGATGGCCATTTAGGGCTGAAACATGTGTCAAAAGTGAAAGTGAAAGGAAGTAGGAACAATTTGTTGCGTTGTTGACGGACTGTGTAGTAAATAGTTTTAGATACAGTAATGCAACAGGATGCTTAAATACAGGATTGACTGGGGAAATTTAGTGGTTAACTGGAACATTTACAGAGTAAACATAAAATACTGATGAAGAAAGCAGTCTTCTGGGATTTGGCACCGTGTATATGTGGTGTTAACCGACGTTTCGGAGGAACGTATTTCCTCCATCGTCGGTTAACACCACATATACACGGTGCCAAATCCCAGAAGACTGCTTTCTTCATAGTCACCGCCGTGAAAGCCTCAAATCTTATAAAATACTGATGACTGGTAATAGCATATTTGCTTCTAATTGATCACGGAAGTACTCTTCATGTGATATATATCATGCTTCACTTCATTACATACACAGTGAATGTTGCAGAATAATCAGTGTGTGTGTAATAATGAACTGTGCTTTCATCTTGTCTTGATATTTGTTTATTTGCTTACATGAACTCTAATGGCATTCCGGATTAAGTGTATCACTAATTCAAGATGTAGGTAAAGTAAACATACTTAAATTGCAGTTGCAACACTATAGTATGTACAGTGCACATCTACCTCTTCTGAACATGATATTGTAATTATTAATTTGGCATTATGATTGAGAACATTCGATTTGGTGCACGTCCTATTGCGACCAAGATTCTTGGTGATTTTATTCTGTTCCCGCAGACAAATACCTGGATAATAACTCATTTAGGCCATGGCAAGTTCCTTCCAAGTTATCCGATGATACATGGCTTTGATATTTAAGAAGTCGTTAGGAGCTGTGATAACGAACTCAGTATAGCAACTGGCTACAGGCTGGATGACCAAGGGATCGGAATTTGAGTCACAGTATGGACAAGAATTTTCTGTTCTCCACTTTGGCCATGCCAGCTCTGGGACCCACCCAGCTTCCTATCTAATGGGTACTGGGGTTAAAGCGGCAGGGTTGTGAAGCTCACCCTCACCTCAAATTAGTACCGAGGTCAAGAAAATGTGGATTTATACATCCACTCCCTCTAATGCCTTCATAGCATATTGCATAATTAGTTAAGCACAGGGGACAACTTACATTTCCCCATTAAACTAGTTAAATGAACCGCCAGAAGGAGGTTTTAAATGTGCCGATTATTCCGCTACGTAATCGTATGTTATCATGGGTTAGTGGTATCCACGGATCGTGGTAGCACCCCTTTTTGATCTGTGAGTACTAAATGTTCCGTGGCGAAAGTGTACAATCGTAGCTCGAAATTGGAATAATCCGTGATTGGAAGAGTTTGTAAGTGTTTGGTAGTGTTCGTGTTGGTATCACGTTAGTTGTTTGCAGTTGGAAAATTGAAAAGTGGTGTTATTTTCTATTTCTGTTGTCTGTGTAAGTAGGATTTGTGTGAGAGTAAGCACAGTTATTATTTTCAAGCATTTTAAACGTCGAAAGACTAATACACGTATAACGTATGTAATTTTAGGTATTTTTACTACTTTGCCTAATCTATATTCGTTTATTTTGTGGTATAGCCGCGCGTGTGTGTGCGAGTTTATGTGAAAATTGTTATTGATTCGTATTATCAGAATAGGTAATTTAAGAAATCATTAATATAGGAATGTGGTGTCTAGTTTTGATTAAATTGGTTTTCCGCCTATATTAAGTCATTATACTGACAGGTACGCAAATCCAAGTTTCGCCTTTCCACAACAAGCGATAGACATTGATTTTCAAGTATGGATGGAATTTTATAACTAAATACACGTAATGGAATTATGTCAGGGCTTAATGAAAATGAGTAACACGCCATTTTGGCGTGATTCGATTCAAGTGGAGTAGTAATGGAATAATGTTGGAAGTTAATGAAAATAATTAGCTCACCCTTTTGGTGTAAACCGAATACCAGTACAGTGTTTAAAATATTTGAATATTACCTTTCTGGAAACAGGATTGCAGACATATGGATGATTGTTGAGAGAAGTGTGAAAGTTGAATGTGGCATATATGGCATAGCACAATAATCCAAATGGTTCTGTTGCCATAGAAAGTTGATGTAACCGGGCTTCATGATCTGTCATAAGTCACTCTGGTTAGATATACCCCGAAGTGGAACAATTGTATAGGAGAGTCTGGCCTTTAATCAGTTCCCTTGAGAAAATTCTGGGAAAGTATCCAACTTTGCCATGGCTACTTACAAATCCATATATGTATGATTTTAAGTAACTGTTTGCAGATGTTAAAATGCTGTTAAAGAACATACCAGTCCATTAATCAAAAGCATATGTTGACTGCTGTCAGAACCTTACAAATCATACAATTCTAATATGGTGTAAATAGTTTATGTAACAACATTTAAATTTTCTTGTATGATATCTCACAAACCAGGAACACCAGTAGTGATCAGATGAAATATATGCTGCATTGAAGAAAGCAGTCTTCTGGGATTTGGCACCGTGTATATGTAGTGTTAACCGACGTTTCGGAGGAACGTATCACCTCCATCTTCAAGGTAGAAGGAAAAATATAAGAATCCGCAAGCGAAGAGACCGTGAGAACCGGTAAAAGCAGACTGGTGTTGGTCGGTTAACACCACATATACACGGTGCCAAATCCCAGAAGACTGCTTTCTTCATAGTCATCGCCATGAAAGCCTCAAATTTTACATATGCTGCAATATTGGAGGCATTTTTTTCTTGAAAAGTTTGGTGAAAATTGCTGTTCCACTTGCCTTTTTAGTTCAAATAAGATGGGAGCAAATAAAAGTTAATGCTCATTGCCTTCAGAAACCTTGTGGGGAAAGTTGTCCATTCTTGTAAGTGAGTATGTGTAGTTTGATGAGGTAGCTGTTAACAGCAGATTGCATTCATGTTTTTAATATAGTGTCCTCCAGGCAGATAGATGGATAGATTAATCAGAGCACAGAAACAGTCATAGATTTGTGTATTTGATGGATACTGGTTAATGAGTATGTGGAACAAGTCGGTGTACAAGTAAACATAATAAGCAAGTCGTAGTAGAAAAATCGCAAGCCGCATGATACACTTAATTTTTACATAAGCAAATTCCTTCCTATATGAATACCAAGGAGAAAGCACAGAATATACATAAATGTTAGTATTTGAAGCTGATTAATGTAAGTGCCAGTGAAATGAATAACGTTAATTACTTAAGTACAAGGTAATCATAGCTCTTGATTATTCATATCACTCCATAGTGCTTGTTGTAATCCCTGTAACTTAGAATATAGTTTTAATTTGAGATTTGTGGATGCTTATTTCATGCTCCTTTTTCCTTCGTTTTTAAAAGTGAGTTGCTTATGCCTTAAGCACATAACCATGAAGGTATAGGGAGCATGCTGAAAAAGCACAATGCATTCTATGCCCTTGCACTAAATGGAGGTGAACAGTCTGCTTCTCACTCTGTATCTGGCTATATTATCACCAAGAAAAGTGGTCTTTGTGCCCATTAAATGGGCTGGATAGTTCTTGGCACTGTCCTGGGCACAATAGCGAAAACTGTAAATAATAATCATCATCATCATCATCGGCAAAATAGCCCTTTTTGAGCCATAGCCTTCCCTTGAAGATTCTTCCAGACTTGTCTGTTCCATCATAAATTAGACCAGCCGGTTTTCACTTCTTTGGAATTAGCAACAGTAACATTTTACAGAGCAAGATCAGCCTAGCATCCAACCTTCAACCTGGAGGACCAAGTTTCTGTATTTATGTCCCCCGGTGACAGGATAGCCTAATTATATCCCCAGGTACTGGGTTCACTTTTTGTGGCCTTCTATGATTTCCAGGCCTACAGTGGAGGTATACTAATCTGCCTCCTCACAGGACTAGTGAAGACTGAACTTCTACATTATTTCTTAATGAAAATCTGTGGATCCACTCGATTTGGTCCAGTGCATATCTGGGAGTTCTAGTACCAGTAACTGTAACAGTACATTAGCCATTCCTATAAAAAGAGAACATTTGTAACTGTAGTTTACAGTGTACAAATGATGGAATTTCACTTTGAGAAGCAAAATGGGTTAAATGATCCCAAATGCAGCCATTGGAAACCAACCAGCCAACCAGCCTTTAAATAAATCGTGCAAGTATTGTAAACCAGGGTGCATATGTTTTCAGCATAGGTTCTCTGTGATTTCTTATTTATTGATTGGTTGATATTAAATTTGGAGTTGACTCGCTTGGGTTATTATGATTTTCACATCAAATAGGGAATTAAATCCAAACTTAGAACTTTTAGAAAAAGGTAAAATTGTCCCTATGGTAACTAATCAGCACTATGAGGCCGTATGGGGGAGGTTATATATAGATATTTGTTTTCTTGATGTCGGCACTAGTTGGAGATGAGTGGTCAGCATCACACCCTAGTCACACTACCACCAAGGAAAGAGCCCAAATTACCCATTGGAGAGGAGGCTGTTTGGGCCCCAGAGCTGGTCTGGACAACATGGAGAAGAGAAAATTTCTGACCCTACTGGGACTCAAACTCCAACCTCTCGGTCATCCAGGCCATGGCCAGTTGTTATACCAACTGTGCTTTCCCTTCTCCTGTAATTTAGAACTATAGTAGCGTAAACTTTGATAGTGCCATTTCTTTGTCAGATGTAATGGTTAAAGTGCTATAGTTTGATAGTTAGAATCTTGTTTAAGAAAGTAAGTACAGCACTTGGAAACTAAAATGGCATTCATTTGATCTTGTAAGAGATTGTCTTAACCTTACATCATTAAAACCTTCATTTCTGATCAAATATCTTGTGTAGTATTTCAGTTTTTTATATGATAATTTACAATGCTACTAGTACAGCAAATTCTGTCAGTGGGATTTCCATTATACTAAATGGTCCAACTAAACATCTTGAATGAGTGGTTAGCAGTCATTTTTATTTGGGAGGTTCTGTGCTCAGTTGCAAACAGGAGGCCTGTTATCCTGCTTAAGATTTTTTGTACTTTTTCTCAATATTGTTAGACCCTTCAAGTAGGTCATGATCACTTCTTTTTTCATCCTTCAAAATTTCTGATTCATGATAACCAGTCTTTCTTTGTGGAAGAAATGCAGTATATATTTTCATTTCAGAACAGTTTGTTATGATGTGTTTTTGACATTTTCTCCCTTTGGCATTGCATGTTAAACATTTGAATATATGAAGAAAGCAGTCTTCTGGGATTTGGCACCATGTATATGTGGTGTTAACCGACGTTTCTGGGGAACGTATCGCTTGCGGATTTCTTATATTTTTCCTTCTACCCTGAAGATGGAAACGATACGTTCCCCCGAAACATCGGTTAACACCACATATACATAGTGCCAAATCCCAGAAGACTGCTTTCTTCGTAGTCACCGCCGTGAAAGCCTCAACTCTTACATTTGAATATGTATTCAAATTTTGTTAGATTCTTTGCTATGCAAGTCTATTTTGGAAGTAACTGTTCAAAGATTTTGAAATTTGGGTGTGAAGATGTTACTGTATGTGGTGTGACTGTATAGTTCATAACAGTACTGGAGACTGTTGATAGATAAAGTTTGATTAAATGTTTAGTTGATGTTTTTTTTAGCAACTAGTACTATTTTAATTGCTGTCCTGTTTCCTTTAAGATAATGCGATCTAGGTCACCCAGTCGTCGTTCAACTCCCCCACCTCCACGAATATCTCGTCGCTCACCAGGTGGGTTCAGAACCAGAGGGAAATCTCCAGACCGGAGACGACGCATGCCACCACCTAGCATGGCCAAATATGTACCAGGTGGTAGAGGTGGCAGTCCTACGAGGGGTAGGAACCGTAGAGAATTTAGACATTCACCTAGAAGGTAATGAACTAGAAATGATTTAATAGGTTTACAGAAATTGCTGTATATCTTGTAGAATCTTACCTACAAACATCCTTACACTGGAATATGAGACTGATTTGTGTGGGAAAGTAGATCAGCAGTAAATCATAATGTGTAGCTTGTTACAGTGGCTGTAAAAGGTAGAACAGTTCCAAAATCATACCTTATAGTCAGTTGAAAAAAAAATGCTAGAAATTCACATGCATTATCCACATCATCATAGAGTTAAGTTCTTATTAGGAGTTATGCAGTAACTTCAAGTCAAAAAGAATATGATCATATAAACACAGCGCTCGTCATGTCTTTTATGAGAAACAGAAATATGTATTTCATTCCTTGGATACCATATGAACATTTTGTTAGGAGACTGGGTGGATGAGAACAGATTGCCTGGGCAAATTTAGCAATAGGTTGGAGAAAATTTTGTAAGGAATCTAATAATTTGTATTGTTGACCAGATTTTATTAGGAAGGTTGAATCAAGGATGAGATGGTTGGGGCTTATAGCACACATTGAAGAGAAGAGAAATTCCTGCATAATTTGGGTTGGAAACAAATCACTTAGAAGACATATTATGTTTTATGTATTATGTTAAATTTGATCTTACAGAAATAGGATTGGAGGGTGGGGACTGGGTTTATTTAGTTCATTATAGAGACCAGTGGTTGACTATTGTGAATGCAGTAATGAGCCACACGAGACAGGGAATTTCTTGGTTAGCTGAGTGATTGTCAGCTTCCCAAGAAGGACCTTCCTCCATAGGGTGAATTGGTTGCTCATGTGTATTCCAGTACATAAGTTTTGTTGACAAGATTTAAGCGCCATATAGAACTGTTCATTTGAACGCATATGGATTGCTGATTTTATTTTCTGTTTGCGCTTTTGATTTCTGGCTGGAAAACAGATGCTGATTTTTGTAACTTTTGTGGAATCTAAGCATCATGTATTATTGTCGTTGTTTTTCCATGATCTTCCCTTAGCCAGCCTCCTGGTTTTCCGTTCCCAAGAAGAAGTAGATCGCCTCTTCAGAGGGAACCAAAAAGACAGTCATTTTCTCCTGGGAAAAGGAAGCTGTCTCCAAAGAGGGAAAGAGAAAGGGAAAGGCCACGGGTCCAGGGGAGAGAAAGAGAACGAAGATCTCGACCACCTATTGCTTCACCTAGGAAGAGGACAAGGTTATCGGTGTTTTGTGTTCATAATTCTACAAGTTCCATCCATCTTGAGGGACATTATAATTTGTAATGATTTAAGAAATTAAATTAAATTAAAATCTCTTGATCATTACTGTCAGAATGCCAGGTTCTTGATGTTTTCTTATGTATGGACGAACAGATATACGTCTATAATCTTTCAAATTGCCTTTTGCTATTTTTCTGTATTTAGTGAATACAAATTTTCAAATTCTTCTTAATATCATTATTAGATTTCACATTATTAGGTGTACTTGGTCATGAAATACTGTCAGAAATTTGAGACATATGCAGAGCTCTAGGAATATTTGTAAGACTATAAGTCTGCACAGAAGGCAAATAGGCTTTATGAGTTATACCCAGAACTCTATTTTAGTTGTTTTTCCATATTATATTTTCAGTATTTAAAAGTTTATCAGCCCAAATTTAAAAATTGTCTTTTGTGTTTTTGTTGCATCTGAACACCATATCTTTATTGTTAGAAATAAAGTGCTTCTTACAGTACAGAATTTGCTTGTTCCCTTTGTTTGTTGTTGCTGTAGTGAAAACATATTTTACGTGCAGGTCAAAAAGCCCAGAGGCGTCTGCTGTTAGTTCAACAAGAGAAGGTGGTCATTTAGGTTCTTATGGTGGAAGTGTAGGAGGGCCTTCAGATGTCTCTCCTCCTGGCCGAAGCTATCAGGGATTACCAAGTTCATACCCTCAAGGGGGACCTGGTCCAGAAGGGGACCCCCCCAACCGAAATATAGTGTCAATGAGTGAAAGGTATGTTTTTTATGTAGCAGTTAAGATTAATTATGGATTATATTTTTTTAACATACTGTCTTACCGTTAATGAGAGCGGCCTCCGTAGTCTAGAGGTAACGTTCCCACCTCATGACTCGTAGTACACAGGTTCAAATACCCGGTGGAGGTCGTTGAATTTTTAAAGGCGGAAAAATTCAGGGAACAAGTCCTCCGGGAGGGACTTTAAGCCGTGGGTCCCGTGTCGTAGCTTTACGGCACGTAAAAGAACCTCATATCTCCAAAGGAGGTCACTGAGCCAAATTAACGGACGTTTCCCGCCCAACAGCAGTCTCTAATACCTCTGGTAGGGGGGGGGAAGCATTATAGATACCTCTCAGCTAGTAGAGCCGGTCTCGCTGGCTGGGCGGGACTGATGGTAAGCACCAGTACCGGTAGGATATAGAGACTGCTAGAAATCATAAAGGGAAGCACAGTGGACCAATACAGGTCTCAGTGCATGGGGAAACCCACCCTCTCCAATAACTAACTAACTGACTACTGTTAATGAGTAGACCATTGAATAGAATTTATTTTAAAAGTGATTAATGAATTTACCTTGTAGGATTTGAGATCCTGACAATGCCATGTAGTCTGTTGAAAGTCAGCTGATATTTTGGGGTAATATATCACCTCTATCTTCAGGATTAAAGAATAAACCTAGTAAGAAATCATCATGAGTCAGGCAGCAAGTAAAGCAACCCTGAAGAAGGAGGCAACATGTTCCTCTGAGACATACATTTATCTTCAGCAGGCTACATGGCTTTATATTCCACAGGATATAACTCTATAATTTACCTTATTTATGAGTAGTGCGTTGAATAGGAATTAATTTGAACTTCTTTCCTTTGTGTTTGGAGATTAGTTTGATTTTTAAATTTGTAGAATGCTCAGATCTTTATTGAAGCACTGCTAAATATGAACATAAACTTTTGCAGTTTTCTGTGGCATAGGTAATTTTGAGAACCCAGTGTTAGTGTATCATATAATTGTTTCTGTTGACAAATCATTTTCCCCATAGTAGAAAGAGCAGTTTTTTCACATTCAGAAATTCATCAAGCCACTCATGCAGGGCAGTTATTTTTTACTGAAGAGTGGAATTTTATTAATTGTGGAAGCTTCCTACTGTATTATTTGCTCCATTCTATTTGTACTTTGTATGTTTTAGGCCCGGATATCCACAGCGCTATTTAAAAATATTAATCAAACTGTGAACATCTGGGCATTTATCCTTTGAATTATTTTAGTTTATTTTACACGTACATACGAGTGTTGCGTAACTGTGCTTGAATCTTTCACAATCATAGATTTCATGGACCAAGTGGACCAGGATCTTATAAAATGGAACAGTCTGATCATCCTGTGTTCCGTGGACCAGAAGGTACAGGCTTTGATGTGAATGAACTGAAGAAGATTACAGTGGATATCCGACGTAACCTACCAGTTGATATGGTTCCTATTGAGCGCAGCATAATCAACCCTGAAGATGTGGTATTGGTTCGTAGGCCAGGTATGTAACCAAACTTCTATCATTTTATGTTGCTTCCTGTTAAGTAAGAAGGTATTGAAGTTCTATGAGGTACATGCAGTAAAATGTTTGATAATGTACCATTTTACTTATGGTGCCAAGAGAAGCCGTGCGAATGGTACCAGATCTTTAGCTGATAAAACTTTATAGTCATGCTTGAAATTTGTGACCATATTGTTCATTGATGAACTTTTGTATATCCTGACAAAGTGCTGAGCCAGCCTGGAATAGGATTCTATGTTTTGAAGGACAGAATGAAGGAAACTGGGAAAGTTCATGACGTGACAAATGAAACAAAGGATTGTCTGCTTCCATATCTGGGCAGTGAGGCTTAAATTTTAAATTGCATATGGAGATTGTGAGACTGTCTTCCTTCTCCACTCCACAAAATTTTATAATATTGTAAATACACACCTGGTTCAGCCCATCAATAGTTTAGGTCATGATGCTGTGTTACACCATCATGAAGTTGTGTTATAATGGTTGTGAAGCAACAAAATGAATATTAGGTGATGCCTAATAATTCTAAAACTCATCAGAAGTATACTTTGTTTTGCTGTGTTATGCTTTAAATGTTGACATGGTAATAACGAATTGCACAACACAGCATGGAGGTACAAAGATTGCAACAGTGTTTTTCTTTAAATTTACGATGCATTGTCAGAGGAAAGAATATAAATTTCAGATGTTTGAAAATAGAATACTCAAGTAGATATATGTAGATAAATGCTCAATCTTGAATAATGGGTTCTTTATATTAACAAGTTAAATGTAGATATGAAGGCTGTATACAGTGTGGAACAGATCAAAGTGTTACTCATTGGTTGAAGTGAAGATTGAGCCATCTTTCTGGAGGAAAACAATAAGTTGCATACTGCTTTTGAAGTGGATGTTAGAGGAATAAATATTTCTCTGTACTAGAATTTCCTTTTCATGTTGTGCCCTTTTATGAGGAAGAATCAGTATATAGGTCACAAATGGAAGTAAAACAGCTGTAATGGACATAATAGGTTTTCTGTGTGTGTCACTAAGTAGCCGCACAGTCCGGCTTCATGACTAGATAGCAGACATGCATGCACATGTTCAGAGGCTAGTTTCAGTAGTCAAAATGGTGACCATGCTTGGGGGTGTAATACCTATTGCAGCATTCTGTTGTGCATTTTTATGGGCAAAAAACGCTAAGGATATTCATAAAGAAATGTTTCCTGTTTATGGTGGGAAGTGTTTGTCACCTAAACCGGGTCACAACTGGATCAAATTCTCTCAAGGACGTGTAAAACTTGCAGAAGTGGCTGAGACAACAGTCAAAAGACTTCTTTGCTACAGGTTCTGATGCACTGGTAAAGAGATGAGACAAGTGTAACAATGTTGGTGGAGGATTTATCGAGAAATAAATGTTTTTTTTTTATAGAGGTTTGAATGTCACATGGTTTACATTTTATATCAATTTGTGACCTATTTACTGACTCTCCCACGTATTTTTCCTGCTTAGCCCCACTTTAGGCTGTTAGAGTAGGTTTATTCATATTACTATATTAGTCACAGAAAATCATTGTTATATATTTTGTCTTCCTCTAAACATTTTATACATTTTTAGAATGAGTATTTAATGAATTTGGTAGGGATATATGAATGGAGAACATTGTGCTAGTGTGATTTAAGAATTTCACGCCTCTGAAGATTTAGATCGTGATTTACTAGATTATGACACACGTTCTGGTAGGTAAAGAGGTAAAGCTATTCCTGTAACATGCCTTGGAGGCGCACAGGTTTGCGAGACGTTGAGGCTCCCACATTTTCTAGTCAGTCAGCTCACAGATGGTGGTAAGATTGTCAGCCTTACGTTCCAGGGACCCCTTAGCCCTAAGAAGATTCCTGGTACTCATCTGTTAGAAACTTAGTTGACCGCAGAGTCATATTGTGGCTAGAAGCATTAGGTCAATTGAAAAGTCCAGTAACCTCATCAGGAATCAAACACGCGACCTTCCAGCTTGTAGCATAGTGTCTGAACCAACTATGCTACCGTGTGCCCCCTTAGTCTGGTAGTTGGTGACCAGTTCTTCAGAGGAAAATACCTGCATTTTCTGCCTTGGAGTTGGAGGCAGTATGCTCCTCCAAAATGTTTGCAGCAACCTTGTAGAGTACAGAATGTCATAACTGAGAAAATTGTAGTCTGAAAGGTCCATCTGTGCTCTTTGTTCTCAACTTGATCTTTACAGTTCAGTGTGATTGAATCAGGTTTCTACAGCATGTTACTATCTTAGCTATGTGTTTTCATGGGTAGTATTACGATCTGGGAGCTGGATAAATTCCATATCTGTTCCCTTCTCCCTACAGTTTCACATGTTCCACTTAGTCTTTGAAAACATATTTAGTACAGTTTGCTTCAGAAATGTAAAATTTAAATTGTTCTTAGAATGTCCATAATAGAGGTTTTGTCTGTTCCACGCAGTGTGCATGCCTTATTTAAATAAACAAACCTTGCATTTTTCATTTGACTGGATTGTAACTGGAATTGTCATTGATAGGTACTGGTATAAGAAATAAAGACTGAAATATATTAAATAAAAAAAAATAACAGAATTTTGTATATTATAATGAAGATTTCACTGCTAATCATGAACGTTTGCAATCCTTATCACGTGAACAATGCAACCTCAGTAGTTCTGTTTTAGAAAGCGATATAATAAAACATGTATGTTTCTCTCCACCCCAGCCACTGAAGATAAAACACACTACCGCAAAGGTGAAAAAGAAGTCTGTGATATTAAGCTTTCAAATGATAACAGTACATATGCTAAAAATCAGCTGATAATGAAAATGATTTTTCAGCATTGCCTGATTAGTTAAGGGTAAAGAATCAAAGGAGACTAATGGTGATGTGTGAACTGACATGAGTAAGGAATTAATGCATTCACATTTGTGAAGTACACGCTAAATAATTATCTGGAGGATTTTCTGAAAACTAACTATCCATATGTATTTATTATGGGTAGGTATATTTAAGATATGCAGAATTTTAGTTACCCCGTGAGATCTTCTGTTAATCACAGTTTTGGCTAAGTTCAACTTGATACATTTATAAAGCACAATAGTGATCTAGGAAGAAATGTGTTGCATGTAAGTAATGATGAGAATTACAGCAATGCAAGTTTACATCCTAAATATGAGAGAACCAAAATTTCCTTCAAGATTATTGTCTTCTGGATGCGACACCATGTTGTATGGTAGATCATAATCAGCTATGTGGAGGACATAACTTTATTCTTGCATAACATTTCCTTCCTTGGTGCTGAACTTGTTGGAGTATTCATGCTTGGAAGAAACCAGACATAGATCATTTTCTTCGTTGAAGTATGGTCTTGCATTAATATTTCATGAAATTGATGCATCAATTTAATAATTTTTAAGTGTTCAAGAGAATGTGATTTTTTTCTGTTTTAAATTGCGTGATGCAGTTGGAATAATCAATTTAATAATTTTAAGTGTTCAAGAGAATGTGATATTTTTTTATTTTAATTTGCGTGATGCAGTTGGAATAGCCTTATGCATTTAAGGGAAGGAATGCAGAAGTTGTTTATAATATAACGTTTATTCTGCAGAAAGTTTTATATAATTTGAAGATGGTAATCGAAACTGCATCAGAAGCAAGTCATGGTAAAAATCGAGGCTTGTGATGCAATGTTCATTATAACTCATTTTTATAATGGGAAGAGAAGCAAACTTGTTAGCAGCATTCAGTGGAGCAGAAGCAAGAGTCCATCAGCAGCTATGCATAATATGAGGATATTAGTAACATCTCAGTAGTAGGTATGTGATTGTGTTTTTTAAAAATGAATATTTATGGTGGTTGCAATTTCGGATTAGAGAATTTTTCGTATAGTTGATTATCAGATTGTAATCATATTAAGAAATATATTGAATGTTATGCACGTACATTGAATTGAAAGGACTACGTGTGAAGATACCTGGATTAACATGAACTTGAATTTCTTGAATTTCTAAAAGGAGGTTTGCTGGCACCAAACACTGTGGTAAATGTGATGAATGTTTTATTCAGATTACAGAATTAATACATGATATTCACTCAGAAGCAGTACGTGACACATATGTAGTGAGATTTACAGGTTTGCAAATAGATGGCAGCAGCATTTTCAGATCTAATACAAAAACTCTGTGGCCTGTAGTCCACAAGTGAACTATATCTACCGAGCAACCGCCACTTGTCAGCGAAGTTAGTACCAACTTTTGTGGATAGAGGGTGTCACATGGTCAGCGCAATGGATCCCCACGGCCGTTAATCTTGATTTTCTAGACCGGAGCCACTATTTCCTTGAAATAGCTCCTCAGTTATCCTCACGAGGCTGAGTTGACCCTGTTCCAGACCCACTACTTCTCACAAAATCTGGTAGTGCCGGGAATTGAACCCGGAACCTCTGGATATGAAGGCATTAACTCTGACCACTCGACCACAGAGGCAGTATCATTTCAGATCTAATATGACATTATTTTCAACATTACTGTCATTAAACTGACAAGATTTTCACTTATTAAGCCAGTTCATTTGTTCTGTATTGATGTGTGTTATTGGCTATATACCATCATTGAACTGCAGATTGGAGACTATAACTTGTGTTCGTCATAATGCAGTAAGAGGGGAATGCTCATTAAAATGTATTTGCAACATCGTAACATGCCTACAGAAACAGTGTGTGTAGAAGAATATATATATATGCAAATTTTAACTGGGAATTTATCTGCTTATGACACACAAATCCTGCATACAAATGCAAGGAAAGTAAAACGTGTTTTTGAAAATAGTGTCACATTATATATTTCACACTTTGCTGCATGCATTACAAACTTGGAATGACCGTCTACGTGTATTATCTTGTTGGCCCACTGATGCCATAATGTGACTGAGTACGAGGAAATTAAGTCTTGCAAGAACTGTGTGCTTTTAGAAACTGAAAGTACTGTGCATAATTTTCACGGACATTTATTTTGTGTATTCTCTACAATTTTAATCCTTTCATTTTTGTGAAAGGCTTGTGTGTGATGGAAGGGAAAACACTGAATGTGCCCAGCAGTTTTCTGTATTTATTATTTTACTTGTGAAGTTAGCATGAGTAAGGTCAGCATTCTCAGTCAGGAACTGGTTAATGAAACTCTCGTACACATTTTGCCTGCATGTAGTAATGAGGTGTGTTGTGCATCGTAAAATTTGATACAACGAGGGAAGAAGCTGCCATTTTCTTTCCTTCTTCTTCATAAGGATCTTTTTTCTCCGAGATTGAGTTTTTATTGATGGCAGAATTGGGGATGAACCCCATTCTAAGTCTTGTGTTGGATTCCAGGAGAATGGCCCAACATTAGCAGTTTAATGTGGTAATGCATTTGTGTAGTGGGATTCTCTACAAAATAACCAACATAGTATCCTAAAAGTGAAACTCAAGTACTCATTTAATTGCTCTGGCCTTTTGTATCCTTTTATCGTGAATGTGGCAAAGTGAAGTGATTTATTTAAATTTATAGTTTTAACAAGAGAGTTTTAGAATATGGTGTGAATTATTTTCAAATAATACTTTTCTAAAAGCTACTGTAGTCACACTTTATACTATTGAAAGAGAAAATCAGAAATGTGTGGAAGAAAGTTGTATGTTTTATTGACTGTTACCTGGTTGTGGCTCGACAAATTATGTTTCCAAGGAATTACTGAAGATCATATTTCTGCTACTGTGATCTCCGTGAGCTCCCACAGGATTAGTTTTATGCACACCGAAGATTTGAACTAGGACACTTTGACATTTCATGTAGACTTTTCAAGGAAAGGGAAGTTTTATCAGTGAACATTTGGATGTACAACATTAAGCATGCCCATATAGTCTCAGCACTGAAAAGCGCCATAAAATAACCTATGCACAGTTCTGGCTTCATCATGCAAATATGTTTTGGATGTACGACATTAAGCATGACCAACGGTATATTGTCTCAATACTGAAAAACGCCATAAAATAACCTATGCACACTTCTGGCAAATGTGTTTATTTTTTCATTGTACAAGAGAAGAAATGAATTGGCTAGTCATCAGTCCATTCGTAATTCAGGCTTTGTCCATAATGCATAGGGGTTTTGAATTTGTACAGGGGCAGTATACTTCATTCTTTAAGTAGAATTGAATAAATGTCATATGCAGAAGTAAACATATTCTGATGAGATATGTCTTCAACTATTGGAAGAAGAAAGAAGAACAATTGATTCTGAAGTTACAGCTGTCAACAGTCTTTGTCTGGAACCAGTTTACATCCACAGCATTCACCAGAATTCAATTCACTATGCAAGACACTAATTTCAAGAAATCCATCAAATAATAATGCTATTGAAAGGAAGGAAATCTTATAAAGTGCTAATTGAAGTAGTTAAAATGACTGGTCCTGAGTTAATGCTCAGTTACAAGGCAATTCATGGACATTACATAGCTTACTGGAGTCTTACATGTGGAAGAGGATAAATCAGCAGAAGTAATTGCCCTTTGTCTGTAGCTTATGATGTGGATGTTTTGTTTGACAATCTGATCAGTTCATATTTATTTATTCTCAAGAGTCTAGTTCCAGGATCAATGTTTGCAGAAATTAATCTCACCATATTAAATTGCTACAGCTATAGCATTAAAGATTATAAAATTCTTCTGTAAAGCAAAATGTATGAATATTTGTACTTAAATGTCACCGGTGCTCTATTGTTGAATTTAGCATATTTTTGACTTATTAAATTATATTTGTGTATAACATAAATAAACATTTACACTCAAAGAAGGGTGTCTTGGAGAGTCACCAGAAGGATGTTACACTTCAGCAGTGAGACAGTTTCTGAAACCCAAGAATTGGTACTGTGTTGATTTTATGGGAGCGGCCAACCAGTTGAGAGAACTGCGTCATTTATGAACCCACAGTATTTGCTCATTTTGTGAATATTCATAAATATAAAGGAATATTAATGGATGGGTTATGAAATTATAGATCATCATATTCAAACTGTTGGTTGTAGGAAGCTCAAGCAACAAACAAGATCATATTTGACTTCTGAAGTGTGTTCCATTTGTATTTGCTGTGAGAAGAAAAAGCTTCCAACAGTGACTGATACTCCTGTCATTTCCAAGGAAAAATGCATTGTGGAGCATTATAACAGTTTGCTGTATAAGTTTTTATCAGCTGGAACCATACAGCAGCAGAAGATTGTGTTGTCCCCCTTCATTTATGGTATACAGAAGAGTCTGCCTCATGTAATATGGTCCTGTCTTCCCGCAGAAATGATGGCAGATGAACGTGAATACAGCATGATCCAAGGTGCACATACTTCCCATGGTCGCTGTGAATCTGATGTCACACTCTCACAATCCAGTGGAAGGAAGATGTCTTGGGAATGTGAAACTAATCATTATCTCCACAGCATCAATAAAAGTTGGTACTTTCATGATAGGTTAAAGTATCCACAGGCAGGGCATGCCTTGAGCAGCATATGCTAGGATTATTCTGCTGACAGGATGTTTTACGGCACAACTCTCATATTACAAATTAAGTTGCATGTTAATGCGTATGTCCCTTTGTTGTCTTTGAATGCAGTGAAATAATTGATGGTTACATACAAAAGACCCTGACAAATATGCTGTATGTACAGGATGTCTCTGGTGAAGACTATGGGTCTAAGAATAGCAGCTGAACTGTGTGGTGAAAGATGAAAGTCTACTAACTTTTCACACATATATTGCATTATTACTCCTGGGCAAGTAGAACAATCACAAGAATCATTCCCTACACAAATAATTGTAATAATGCACTTCATCATTTATTTACATGCTGAGCTCAACAGCAAATGGCTAATTAAAAAGCTAGCATAATGGTGATGATTACAGTAACATGTGGGACTTAGTAATTTAAATCTATATGCTTCAGTCAGCTTCTCTCTCTAACCTGTAAGTTGATGGATAAATGTATGGTTTGGTAAAGTATGGCCAGATATTTATCTGCAACTTTTCATTCACTTCTTATTTATTGGTAATAGTGGAAGAAAATGTAGTACTGCTTGTTGGAATGTTACAACATGCAACTCAAATGAAGCATTGGCATATAAGTCAGATGCTGCCGAAATTAAAAAAAAAAATGTGTTTAAGGCTATTTTGTTTTACATTAATTTTATTGGAGGTGCCCTGAATGAAGTGTGCTACAAAAAAAGGAAATTACTTTTTGGAGCAAGTAGGCCAACAAAGTGTTAAGACAAGAGTCTGCTGCATTGGAGATCTACAGCTTTTCTGTGAAACTAATTACATACCCTATGATCTTATTTGAACTTTGGGATAATTCTCAAAGTAGCCCACTGCCAACACTACACATGGAAATAAAATACATACTAGCTATGATTGCTGAATTGTCCGTTATCACATAAATGAACGGAAGGGATAACACAGAGGTCTCATAATGAAAAAGAAGAGTATAAGTGTGCGAAAGTATATCAACTTTTTGAAACTTTTGTTGTGGACTGATTTTGTTTTCAAAACTGCTTGCATCTTTGTTGGAATGATTATATGAAATCAACACATGACAATGAAGCCTTCAGTTGTGCACTCACTTCACTGCCCATAAGAAGAAACATGCCTTTGACACTTTCTCCCACTGGGTAATGCAAATAATGTTACCATCTGAAATATTAGTGAATGTGGGGAAGTAGTTTTAAAATGTGCCTGATCATACGCTGAATTCGTATTGCTGTAGAAACCTCATAGAAATGTGGAAGAAAAGAAAGTTAAGTTAATATATTGTGACATGTTGCGCAACGGAGGACCCCCACCTCCCCAGCGGTACGTGGCGGTAACGTAGCGCTCTCGTTACTATGGTAATAGGCGAGTCATCGCCCCGCCACTCTCCCCATGGTGATGTAACGCACAACGCGTGGTGATGCAACATGACGACATGGCACCGGTTCCTACTGTGACGTGGCACGCAACAACGCTGTTGACGCGGGCGACAGGTAACAGCGAACGGAATATAAGCCGGCTGAGCAGCAAGCGAGAGCCAGTGTGTTATCAACAGTTCTCAAGGTAGCAGTCTGCGAGTCGAGTTGACATATAGCAGCAGTCGTGATAAGACCCGAACGCGTGGTTACAAGATTTTATGTGACAGTGTGCGATAACTAAGAAGTCAGCGAGCGGAAGACTTATTGTGTGCTTTCGAGACTTAGTGAGTGCTGTAGTACAGTTATATTTGGAGTGTGTAATTCAGGGAGACTTGTATAGCTCCCGCGTTATTAATACGTGACGACTCTTGAAGATAGTGTGAAGAGATTTGGTTGTAGGGTTTGTAAAGTGTGGAAACCCGTAACATTGTTATAATTAATTGTAGCCGTTACTTGTAGGTTGTTGAATAAACCAATTAACAATCTACGGCATATTCAGTAACGAAACACGTTACAATATGAAATATTTTCATGCTCTTCAGATTGGATTGTTTCGCTTTAATACATTAATGGTTGCTGTGTTATGTAAGAATATAGATCCAAGTGTTGTAAAATATTATGTAATATTTTTAAAGCTTCACTGATGGATTGGTGCACTGGGATCTGGAAAGCGCTGAACTATGAGGTGTAATAAAAAATATTAAATCTTTAGCAGTGTTGTGCCATTAATGACAGGAAGTATAGGTAAGAAGAGTGTGAAGCTTTATGGGCAAGTGTATTTGAATAATCAGGAGATGAACAAGAAGTTCTGGGAAGAAATAATCACCTAATTTCCTTTGATATTGTATGCACCACATAAAAAAATGACACGTCTGACTGTTCTTCTGTTGTTGCGTGTGTATTCATTGCCATAAGAATGTGTTTACCGAGCTGTTGCCTAGCAACAATAGGGGAGATGCAAATATGGTCACATTGGCAACACAGTGTCCTCGTAAGCCTATTTTTATCTTTACACACTAGGAAAAGTAGGCTAAAAGGAAGCAAACATATGGGTGTAATGTTGCGTTATTTTCATGCAAATGCTGGAAAAAAGAGAGCCAAAGAATGGAATTTATATATTGGTTGTGTAGAAAATGATAATTTATGGAATTGTATGAGATCACTTTTATATTGATATGGACCAGAATGCAAATAATACTGGTAAGCATTTAAATGACTAGAGATGGGGTTTGGATTGATAATTGGATTTATTGGACTCTTGAAACTCATGACTACAATTAACTGTAACAATTTCATGGATCTGTACACTTCACAAATCACTTCAGACTGCACAGAAAATGCCACTTTCAGCAGTTCTTCTGTTATTACATATAAGAGCATGGCTGCCATCACATGACATGTGTTGAAACATTGCCTATCAATGGGCATGTTTTGAAAGGCATTCCCTGGCAAAGGCTATCTCTGCAGGCTTCCCAATTCTGGCTTTCAACAGACATGCCACAATATGTAAAAGGACAGAGATGGAAATTTCTTTCATCATATTTTGCATGTTATCGGTTACAGTGGCAAGATCATGAAATAATTAACAAGGCGGCTGAAAGTTAATAGACCATGCTTGAAGATAATTAATTACTATTTGAAGAAGAGTTTACATAAGCAAACTGTATTACTATGGCAATTTTTAATTTAGTTAGGTTCTTAGGTATAAATATAAAAGTCTGTTTTAGGTTTAATCCTTAGCTAAACATAGGTTTGTAATTGTGCCTTCAGAAAATGTTTTACGACTCTGTGGTTATGAGCAGTATTTTGCCTGGCATGGCGTTGGGTGTAAAGGAAAACTCTGAACGATTTTATTGTGTTCATGGACTTAACAGTTTCATCACCCATCCCTTTCACAAACAGTGAAATTGTATTTTAAGAGTGTAAATGGTTATTTATAGAATGCTAGTGAACAGTAAGTTCTGTGTGTTACTTCTTAGCTGAATGGTATGCCATGTTTTGTCTGAAGATCAAGAAACTTGAAGCTTGATAACATGAAGACATTCATATACAAGTATATTTTTTCTGAATGTTTAATCACTTTATTGTTATTGTAACATGACTTGGAAGAGTCACTATTTCCACAGGAGTTTTAAGCTAATTATACTCTTAACCCACTGGGGCTTACATTCTCAAGTAATGTAACGTGGATGGTGCAACAAGAAGTAGGGGTCACGTGAGCTCTGCTTTTCCACGAGTGATATCACCTACCCCCACTTCTTCCATCACTACGCAAAGCTCAGTAAACACCCCTCCCCGCTAGGCTGTGACGTCACGCAACAGGTGATTCCATGCAGCGACTATTGCTAGGCAATCAGTAAACACGGTGATTGCACAACAGGGAAGCGAGGTGCATTTTCCGCTGTCAGGCTGAGGGTTTATAAGAGAAACTGAAATGCCTAAGGGAGCGAGTGGAAGTCTAGCAGTCGCTGAGTGCAGTTGCAGTCTAATGAATGAATGTATAAGGAGTGGGCCTTCTTGGCCCTTACACTGTGACCACTGTGATGTATTGTGCCTTAGTTGCAGTCTAGCATTTGCCGGAGTTAGTTGAGCATTAGCCATTGATTTCCAGTCTTCGAAGAAATGAGGTGAAGTCCAGCAGCCACGATTTGTTAAGTTGTATCGAGTGAATGGCAGTGACTACAGCAGGAGAAGTAATTGTGTGAGACTGCAAATGGGAATAATTGGGACACTGTAAATTGTGTAAGTGTAAGAGTGAGTGTGGAATAAATTCGCTAGATCCAAAATGGCGTGAAGTTATTTGTTGCGTTACAAACACCCAACGCGTGAAAATATGTTGGGGCCAGGACTGTGCCCAGAAGAATCAGTATCTCATGAAAAGAATAACATTTCACAGTCACCAGGTAGCAGAAATGTGTTACTGAAGCATTCTCTGATATGGACAAAAACCAAACACGAAGAAATATGAAATTGCTTACTAACTGAGGAGATGAAATAGTTCTGTAAGGCAATTCTTGTTTTGTCCAAGCATTATATGGAATTGCTTCATAAACTGCAGTTGGTGTGCTAATTAAATCATCAGATGATGGATTGCAACAAGGAATATTAAACAGTGGGTGCAGATAACATATCGATATTGAAGGTAATAGCATAAATTAGAAAAGTGTTTATAATTATGCCATTGAGCTCTGATGAACTCATATTGTTCAAAAAACATGGCTGCTGTATGTAATTGGAACACAAATTGTCTTCAGTCTTGCACACCTCACGCTAACATTATGGAACATGATTGATGTTGACTCTGGGAGCCTTCTTGCCAGAATGATCTTGATGGCTGCAGATTGTTCTTCAGCAGGGGACTGATGAGTTACCCATAGAATTGGCAGCAAACTGATATTATGATTCTCAAGATTAGCTGTTTGCTAGTGAACTGGAAGGAAAATTGTCTGAGGTTTAACTGCTTTCTAGCTGATTTGCCCATCATTGTTAGTATACTCTGTCCTGATTACTA